TAATAAAACGAAGAAGCTTTTTAAAATAAATGCTTGATCTGAAGAGGCCCAGTGCTATTGTATTTTCTTTTAAATAGCAGAGAATAATGTATAGTTCCAGAAAGCCACATCAATTTTAACAGCATCTGGACAAGTATAGTCTGAAATGCAACACCACAAACAGTGTATATCTTCTGTACTGTTTGCCATTTGTTGCAAGGAGGAAAATTGCTGGGAGGCAGAGGCAGATTCCCCTCCCATGTTTTCCTCCCAAAAGCTAGGTGTCTCTTATACTTTGGAGTGTCTTATACTCCGATAAATATGGTAAGTTTTACCTGCTTCCAGGTAAGATGGATAGAGCTGTGCTCTAGGCTCCATTGTACATTCCATCTTGTTTGCGATACCTGCTTACAGTTTAATTTTATCTCCTTTATGTAAGATGCATTTTCTTTCTTTCTTTCAGGTATCAAATCCATACTGGCCTTCAGCATTCTGTCATACGGCCGACCCAGCCAAACTGCCTGCCTCTGGACAATGTGACACTACCTCAGAAACTGAAAGAAGCAGGTTATTCAACCCACATGATTGGCAAATGGCACTTGGGCTTTTATCGCAAAGAATGCATGCCAACTCAACGGGGATTTGATACCTTTTTTGGCTCCCTTTTGGGTAGTGGTGATTATTACACCCATTACAAATGTGACAGCCCTCGAATGTGTGGCTATGACTTATATGAAAATGATAATGCTGCTTGGGATCATGACAATGGAATGTATTCTACACAGATGTACACTCAAAGAGTGGAAAAAATCTTAGCCTCCCATAATCCCAGGGAACCTATGTTCTTATACCTTGCATACCAAGCTGTTCACTCACCACTTCAGGCCCCGGGAAAGTATTATGAACGTTATAGATCAATTAATAATATCAATCGGCGCAGATATGCTGCCATGCTGGCATGCTTGGATGAAGCTATCAACAATGTGACCCGTGCATTAAAGCGATATGGCTATTATAGCAACAGTGTTATAATTTACTCTTCGGACAATGGAGGCCAGCCAACAGCTGGTGGAAATAACTGGCCCCTCAGAGGAAGCAAGGGGACTTACTGGGAGGGAGGGATTCGAGCTGTTGGCTTTGTTCATAGCCCTTTACTTAAAATCAAGGGAAGTGTATGCAAGGAACTTATACATATAACCGACTGGTTTCCAACACTGATTACCTTAGCGGAAGGACAGATTGATGAAGATATACAACTGGATGGCTATGATGTATGGGAAACCATAAGTGAAGGCAGACGGTCTCCAAGAATAGATATTTTACACAATATTGATCCCATATATACAAAAGCCAGAAATGGTTCTTGGACAGCTGGCTTTGGAATATGGAACACTGCCATTCAGTCAGCCATCCGTGTAAACCACTGGAAACTACTCACAGGGAATCCAGGGTATGGTGACTGGGTCCCTCCTCAGTCTTTTAGTAATGTTGGCCCCAATCGCTGGCACAATGAACGGGTTTCATGGACAGCTGGCAAAACTGTGTGGTTGTTCAACATCACGGCTGATCCTTATGAACGACAGGATCTCTCTAGGAAGTATCCAGGTATAGTCAAGCAGCTGCTGCGAAGGCTTTCCCAGTTCAATAAAACAGCTGTGCCTGTTCGCTACCCCCCTAAAGACCCCAGGAGCAACCCAAATTTTAATGGAGGTGTGTGGGGCCCCTGGTTTAAGGAGAATAAAAACAAGGTGTTAAATAAAAACAAACTGGGTAAAAACCAAAAGAAAACCAAGAAGAAATCTAATGGGCAGAAAGGGCATTCCTTGAATTGCCTTTTAAATCAATGATTTTCAGCTGGAGCTTTATGCTGCGGTTCTAACCCTACTTACCTTTGTCAAAAGGATGATAGGCTGGCTTCCAAGAAAAGGTTTGTAACCTCAGTGTGTCATTGCTGAAGTGGAAGTGCAATGTTCTTCAACATTTGTAATTGAAATATCAACACCAAAATAGCCATGGCAATGGCACTTAGACTTATATACCGCTTCACAGTGCTTTACAGCCCTCTAAGCGGTTTACAGAGTCCAGCATATTTCCCCCAGCAATCATTTTACCCAC